TCAAAGAATAAGATAAATATTCAGAGATAGATAGATATTCAAAGAATGAGATAGATAGATAGATAGATAGATAGATAGATAGATAGATAGATATGAACAGACTTTGATAGGCAAAAGAGAGAAAAGGACCATAAAATGAAGAAAATATTAGATAAAGAAGTTGATAGAAATAAAACCAAAATATAAGTCAAGCACGCAACAAATATTTCACTGCAGATAATAAAAACAAAACCAAAATACTATTAACATTTAAGATGATGTCTGTTAAATCTTCACAAAAGAATAAAGCGCTTTATACTCAAAACAATGGAACTTCGATACGAAATTAAACAAAAACCGTAAAAGAAAAAACAGGAAAAAAAAAAATCGCTAAGCAACGACGATTTTTGTACGAACAAAAGCTGTGTTTCTTAATATGGCTGCTTTTCCAACTTATTGACACTCAAGGCTTACAAAGAAATTTCTGGATATTTGGAAGTGTTCCAATGTAACTGCTTGGGAATGTATTTTTACAAACAATATAACATTTTTCCAGAGTTATATATATATATATATATATATATATATATATATAGATAGATAGATAGATAGATATAGATAGATAGATATTCAAAATTATAACATATGCATATTATAAAATCACTACAAAATTGCAATTTTGTTTCAAAACTGTTCTTTACACCATCAACTGATTGTGTAAAATTGCAAACTAAAGAGTTTTTAGAGCCTTTTATTTTTAAAACAAAAATGCAGTTTTTTGTAGTGATGTTATATTATGCATATATATATATATATATATATATATATATATATATATATATATATATAATTTTGAATAAATATTATTTGCTCTAATCGGTACTGAGCACTCCTTTAAGAATAGTGTTTTTGGCTATTGGAATTTTCTTCCATCTCTAATAACCCTGTACTTGTACTATATATATATATATATATATATATATATATATATATATATATATATATATATTACAATGAATCATTTATAAAAAAAAGTAGATTCGTAATATAAATTGAACTGCACCACATATTTGATATATATAGATATATATATATATCATATTGAAATACCAGTTCCCCTAAGATAACCGAAGTTAAGCAATGTCAAATGCATTTGTTGACAGGTCAGCTGACACTGATATCATACAGTTTCTAGTAATATATGGCCACTCGTATTCGAGAATACGCGTCTACTAGCCAATCCCTATTGCAGACGCTCACTCAGGCACATCTGTTTGTGTTCAACAACCACAGAGCCAACCTGTGGTTTATACTGCAACTATGTTGAGAAGACCTTATTTACAGTTTCTGGAAATGAGCGTGTTATCTAGCATGATCAACAATCAGAACAAGGCCAGCACACTGAAACCCTCGGTCACGATGACTTGTGACTTCGTACTAGAATTGTTCCATCTAGCCATTTTCACTCACAAGGCTTGAGTCAACCCGTGGCATTTTCCAGAGGTGCCACACGCTGGGATTGTCGACCTCTAGAACTAGAACATAAGGAAGTTTCCTTCTTGACAAATCAACCGTAGTGAGATTCGAACCCGGGTCTCATGGTTAGAAAGCGAACGTTCTAATCACTCGGCCACACGCACAGTTTCTAGTACCTCGGTTAAATCAGGAATACGCGCTTCAGAAAGAGCGTCAAAAAAGCCGAAAGCTGATCTTGGTAAGTCAAGGACGGTGTAAACATCCCAGCTCGTGATCTTAAGATTCGATATGTCTTATATTTTTGATGGAGTCATTTGTCCCCGATTTAAGTTAAGAGGTTTTCTGATCTCTTCCATTTCTCCCACATGAGAAAATAAATCGCCAACAGCTGGATACTGACCAGATTTATAATGGCAAGCTTTATTTAGACTAGCATCTCTAAGTCCCTCCCGCAATCAGGCGAGGATTTCTTTCCCTGAAAAATACTTCCAAGTCACCTGATATGACATTAAATCTCTCCATTGAAATGGTTCGAGAAGTTACCAATAACCCAAGCCGCCTATGTGTAGATTAAAAATTGCATTTTTTAAGGTATTTTGTCATTACCGATTCAAATTATTTATTTATTTATTTGCTGGCTGGAGGTGTGACATCTGGAATAGTTTACTTACATGTTATTTATTTAAGATACTTGGCTCTTACCTGCTAGGAATTCGTGGTACAACTAATGTAAATAATAAAGTATCTGCTAAGAAGACAGAATGGTGGAAATTCAGTCAACTGAAAGCTGCAAGAGCAGCAGCAGCTAGAGGAGTAGTAGGAAGAGATCCCTAAATCAAAGTATCACGAATTACGGTTTTCACGTTTCATTTCATTAAGCATAAACTACATGACAGAATGCATGGTCATCAGAAAAAAGGGTGAGTTCGAAATGCAATTTACAGGTCGAGAACACTAAATTCAAGCAGGTGCTGAAATTTAAATATCTGAGAAGTGTTCTGATAGAGGACGGTAAAGATCCGAAGGCATATTGGAATGGCCAAAGACGCATTCCAAAAGCTAAGCTGAGTATTAAGAGACAAGAAGATTTATTTGGTAACTAAGAAAAGAGTACTGAACTGCTACGAGTCATCTGTCCTTCTTTACGGCAGCGATTGTCGGATGGTCCCCTCAAAGATGAAGAAGACATTAGAGGCAACGGAAGTATGGTTCTAGAGAAGGATGATAAGGATGCCATGGGCCGAGCGTGTGAGCAACGATGAGGTTTTGGAGAGGATACAAGCAAGGAGGAAGCTTATACTTAACATCAGGAAGAAGCAGCTGAAATTTCCGGGGCACGTACTAAGAAAAGAGGGCTTGGAGAAAGTGATATTCACAGGGCGAACAGAGGGAAAGAGAAACAAGGGAAAGCAACGCGTGACCTAACTAGCGGGCTTCAGCAACTGGATGACAGAATAGGGTCTAGAAGAAATAGGAAAGGGAGAAAACTTATTGAAAGCTACAAGGGATAGGTAGAAGTGGAGAGCCATGATCACCTACGTCCTGAAGGGACAAGGCACATAAAGTAAGAAGAATAAGAGAATCGAAAATCTCGACATCATCGATTTGTACATAATGCTCAAAGAGGTGCGTGTAGAAGATACAGCTAAGTTTGCCTTTACTAAAATCAGTCTCAGATGTTTAGATAGATACATAGATAGATAACGGGAGAAAGAGAGAGGTATAAACAAAGGATAGATAGCGCACTCTCTCTCTCTCTCTCTCTCTCTCTATCTATCTATCTATCTATCTATTTATCTATCTATCTCTCTATCTATCTATCTCTTTATATATATATATATATATATATATATATATATATATATATATAGAGAGAGAGAGAGAGAGAGAGAGAGAGAGACATGGTGGAGTAATGAATAGTGGCTTGGACTGAGGAATAGGAGAGCCGAGTTCGAATTCCAGTCGAATCCATTACATTAACTTACGTGCTAATACCCTTGGGAATGATGCGAATCCTCCTCTTCTTCTACCTCCAGCTATGGGTAAATAGCAGGACAGACTGGGTTCTATAGCCTTGGATGGCAACTGGCAAAAACCAAAATTCAAAACCTGCTGTAGTGCACCAGGTCTCTGTATTCGGCCCTTCAAAAAGTGTGGATGATCCTGCACGAAACCTTCACTACTATAATCAAATCTCGGGCTGTCGGTTTCCTAGGAACTGATTTGCTTGACCCTCATAAGTCGAATTCGACGGGAGAGTCGAGTATATATATATATATATATATATATATATATATATATATCGTCTGAGTATTACCACCAACTCGAAAGTGATAGACTTCTTGTATGTAACCTTATACCTGTCTAATGGACTTAATAAACCATATACCAATGACCTATACAACTATAGATACTTCAACAAATAATCTAACCATCATCCTAGAATGTTAAACAATTTGTATAAATCGGTCCAAATTAGGATTTCCACCATCTGTAGTAAAGAAAGGAATTTTTGATATGTCGACGCCTTAGGACAATATAAGCCTCAAGTAAACCTAGAGTGCTTAGAAATAAACAAAAAAGATATTAACAAACCAAAGCACCGTAAACGCAATATAATATGGTTTAGCACACCATTTAGCAGCAATGTCAAAACATCGGTAATTTTTCCTGAATTTAATCCATAAGCATTTTAGCCATTCCCAAAAGCTATAAAAAAATGTTCAATAAAAACGACTTTAAAGATAGCTATAGTTTAAAACTATCTATACTGTTGTCATTTTGGGGGCGAGTTGCGTAGACCTCACCCTCTAGCCTTGCTAGAATCCAAAAACGTCACCGAGTCCACAGGCGGGATGTGGCAAGTGTCTTGCTACTCTATCGCTACTTCTACAGAAAGAGTGATCGGACGAACTACATTCCCTCGGTGAGAAGTCAGTTCCACTCGACCAGATTCTTTCCGCAAACCACTGCTCTGTGGAACCGACTCCTGAGAGGATGTTTCCCCGATCATTAAAATCTTAATCTGTTCATGTCTAGGCTTAATCGTTATCTTCTCTTTCTTTTCGCCCAAATTGCCTCTTAACGTGACCCTCTGCATCGAGTTCCCCATCGGACCTTGTATAGGATGAACCTTAATGTGAAAAAAGTCTTAATGATCAAAATACATCTAATACTGATTTACATAAGCGCTTTTCCGGCAATGAATGAGCGGTACCTCTTTTAATCGGTAAAATTTAAATTTCACTCACTTGTTAAAACTAATTCGCTAAACTGACGTAGGTGGTCTGGTATATATAAATAGTTTTATTAAAGTTTCTAAAAATGGATGATTCTATAGAGATACGAGACATACATAATTAGTTGTTCCGGAGTGAATAATAGTCGGTACCTCTTTTAATTCAGACGGAAATACGAGCAAACATTTCAATTTAATGCCGACAAGATTCTTAGGATAGGGTCCTATGAATAGAATATGTATTAATATTTTTCCCAAACGTATTGCTGCCAATATTTTTTTTTACAAATGTACTGCTGGTATTTTTACTATACGAATCTGTTTTTATACTTTCACAGTGTTTTGACCACAATTTGGAGGTTAACTATTTGTCTATGGCTGGGACCCTAACAGGTGCTGCCACCCCGGGTCAAGGTAGATCTGGGAACAACAGCAGTTAAGAGGTGGTTCTACGCCCCTCAAAACCTTGCTGCCGTCATATCCAGGACGACAGCCACAGGTCGCGTTGTACTTGCCGCCACATTTGATATTGATTTTCCATCAATTAATGATGCAATAGCTATACATAAGGAGTTGATCAGAGGTGTTATAAAGTTTAATGGGAAATTCTTAGTGAGCGCGCACACTCACATATATTAATAATAAATACACATTTTGTAATTATATATATATATATATATATATATATATATATATATATATATATATATATATATATATATATATATATACAATACAGGGTGATTGAAAAATAACATCCCTTTTTAAAATACATATAATTTATTTATAAACTATAATTTTTACAAGAAATGGATATGAGAGGAAAAGTTTTAGGATGAGGTTTTCTTTAAAATTCGATCTGTGCACCGGTTTTCGCTGTCTTGAGCCGCCCAGGAATCGCGTCAACTGATTTCACCAGAAACTCTTGTGGTAGTGAAGACATAACTTCTTGTATTCGCCCTTCAAGTTCTTCCAAAGTCTTCGTTTAGTTTAGTAGACTTGCTCCTTTAACCAACCCCAAAGAAAAACGTCACACGGTGTTAAGTTAGGAGTCCTGGCTGCTCACTCATACATAAAATATGTATAAGATATAGAAAAAATAGGAAAAGTTTATCAATCTAACATGTTTCGCTTTTATTAAAGCTTCATCAGAGACTGAGATATAGAGAAAAAGAAGAAAGTGTTTATCATAAAGTCACTAAAATTGTCCTAATTAATTTTGATTCCCTCTCTACAAAAAATCAGGGTTAGTCATATTATTCTACCCCAGAACTCTTTGAATATGTAAGCAGAATCTTCACTCCCCACATTATTTCATCCTCAGCGCTTGAAAACCGATATACAAAATCGACAAATTCAAAAAACTAGACATCACTGAGAGTATTTCTAACGTTAATAACACAAAATTCTGTCTTTATAGGATTTCAATTTCTGAGTCTCGCCACGTTAGCGTAGTTGAAATAATTTATTACTATTATTAAATATTTAATTAAACTATAATCTAAATTGACATTAACTTGCACTTATTATTAAAATTTAAGGATTAAAAATTCCAATTTCTTTTTTAAATTTTAAAACGGAAAACGCTTGTGGTTATATACTTTAAAAAGGATTCATACTATGTTCCAATGGGGATAATTTTTTTTTGCTTGGGGTAAAACACTTAAAAAGTGATAGTGATAATAAAATCAACAATAAGTAACAGCAATAATAATAATATTAATAATAATAGGTTGTAATAATATTAATAATATGATAATAATAATAATAATAATAATAATAATAATAGTAATAACATCAATAATAAAATAATAATACAATAATAATAGTTGATAGTAAAATTAATAATAGCATGTGTAGTGTCCGAATAAAAAAAATATATTAATCTAGGTCAGCCTACTTGAGCAGGTCTTTTTTTCTATGTCTGCATGTAGTCATTATTTCACTTATTTTGTTTAACAAATTTAGGGTTATCTATATATTTTAAGATGACAAGTTTTTCTAAAAGACAGAAATTCCATGTTTTACCTTTTCCGCTGAAAATTTTGACTTTTGCTACGCAATCCCAGTTAATCGTTGGGTTTATATTGCTGCTTTTTCATTTTCCAGAAAAATTTAGAGAGAGCAGTGCAGTTACTATATTTACCCAGGACGCAAACATAATTCTGGTTGTAAATATGTAACATTTATAACGATAAAATAAGGATATTTTTTCTTAAGTGTTTATAAATTGTACACTGTTCAATTATTAACGTTAATAACGAACTATTTTAAATTACAAAATTGTACTTCGATTAAACGAAAATTACTTACACTACATTTTACTTATAATACATTCCTTCTTGCTGTCAATTTTAACAGCACGGGTAAAAATTAGCAGTAAAATAATTCCAGTAAATGTCTATAGATTCGTTTATTATTCTTGTGTAAGAATATGTGTTATCAATAGAATGTACGGGCTTTTCAGGTATTTGTTTAATAAATCTGATCGTCAATTGCAGTTGAATGTTATTTCTGTCTATTTATGACATATTCCTCCAAAAGACCTTTAACGCACATAGATTTTCGCGCAAACATACAAATATCACACACTCCCAGAGAACCCCTACCGACAATCGCGCTTTCATGAGAAGGACAATATTAAAAACCGATCAAGTTTTGATTGTCATTTTTACTCAAATATTAATACGAACGGACCTGATTCGTTTCAAACATCCCCACAGACAACCAATGTCCAGACGTTGCCGGATGATTAAACAGACCCGACCAGTGAAAGCGTTCACCGGTCACGTGGTGGTTGTTGCCATCATGGCTGAACCTACGTGTATGCAAGAGCAAATCCAGATTCACACAGCATGTGGTGTCTAAATCATGGGCTTTGTATGTCTGACGCACACGGTTAGATGTCCAAAGTGACAATGAGCAGGTGGTTGGGTTTTTTGACCCTTACGCTCCCTATTGACCGTATATGTCAATAAAGACGGGGAGAAAGTAAAAAAAAAAAACTACCGGAAGAGAAGAAGGATAAGATGTGGAAAAAAAAAGAGAGAGATCAAATTTGTGATCAAATTTGTGAAAAATGTTCAAGAACAAAAGTTGAAAGAAAGAAAATAAAATAAGTACAATAAGAAGCCACGAAGCTAGAAAGAAAGAAAGAAAGAAAGAAAGAAAGAATGCATGGGACAAAATAGCGATGGTTCGAATGAATGAAAGAAAGAAAAAGAAAGAAAGAAAGAAAGAAAGAAAGAAAATGCATGGGACAAAATAGCGATGGTTCGAATAAAAGAAAGAAAGAAAGAAAGAAAAAGAAAGAAAGAAAGAAAGAAAGAAAGAAAGAAAGAAAGAATGCATGGGACAAAATAGCGATGGTTCGAATAAAAGAAAGAAAGAAAGAAAGAAAGAATGCATGGGACAAAATAGCGATGGTTCGAATAAAAGAAAGAAAGAAAGAAAGAAAGAAAGAAAGAAAGAAAGAAAGAAAGAAAAGGAGAATGGAAATAATAAAATGGAATTAGTTAGAGTTAAACGGTAAGGACTGAAGTTTAAATCAATATGGAATATTGGATCTAAAATAAAACGTGTTCTATGAACAAAGCTGGAGAATCAAGAAATGAAGGGCGGAAAATTTCAAGGAAGATGAAGGAGAGAGAAAAGAAAAAACAGCAGAAACCACAACAAAAATAACAAAAGAAAAAAACTCGCTTCTTTGTCAAGACGAAAGAAAGAAAGAAAGAAAATGGAGACAAAGAAAGAAAGAAAGAAAATGGAGACAAAGAAAGAAAGAAAGAAAGAAAGAAAGAAAGAAAGAAAATGGGTGGATAATTATATTTACAATAAAGAAAGTGGAGAAGAGTAAATTTACAACAAATTCTTTTTTTCTAATAAAGAAAATGTATTTCAAAAAAAGAAAGAAAAATTTGGAAGAGTAGATTTGTAAGAAAAAAAGAGGAAGAATGAAAGAAAGAAAACGACTAAAGAAATTGGAAATAAAAAAGAAACGAACGAAATGACGTAACGTCGAAAATAGCCAAAGAAAGAAAGAAAAAATGCGTTCGTTGTCGCTCTGTGTTTTCGCTCTTAGTCCGTATAGTAAAGAAGCTCGAAGCGAAATAGTCAGTTTGTCAGTGATTGGTTAACCGATTCATGTTTCTGACAAACTCAGCGGACATCAGATAACACAATTCGATCACTACATCAACTAATCGATCACTGTTTAATCGATTGAGAAAATAGGAAATGGAGTCAAATGAAGCAAATACTTAATCTTATATGCCTAGGAGAATGTCACACAGGCACATGTGTACAAAGAAACAATTCACTGTGTCGGGGGGGGGAGACAGTGTAAAGGTTATTGGCGCGTAAAGTGTAATAGGTGAGCCGAGTTCAAATTCCTGTCTGTGTATTCTGTTTCGTTCATTTCGGGCTAATACACTCGGATAGAGTACAAAGCCGGCTATGGATTAAACAACACGACAGACCGGGTTCCTTGCCTTAGGTAACAAAATTGGCAGCAAGGTCTCACCATTTTACAGGTAAAATGACGAGATGCAACCGTAAGTTCTATGCTAACAGTTTCTTCTTTTGTACTTATCGTTTGGGAAACTCTTTTTCCGGCATCTTGCTTTCCAGTCAAGTTTGATCTTGAGAAATTTAAATGCAGTGTCAATCATTCCCTTCTTAATTCTTGTTATTTTAATGTTCTTACTCCTTAATAGATTTTTTCTTATATTTTTTCACACTCATCAACCCCTATGCATCTTAGTGGCATTATCGCCTTGGTTGGAGTGAAATGATTAAAAAACAATTCGAAATTAAAATCATTTTTTTAATTAAGTACACTCAATGAATATTTTTTTAATCATTTTTCCCCAGGCAAGGCGATAATGCCACTAAGACGCAAGTGAAAGAAAATGAGAAGACTTTAGTCAGGCGAAATGACAATAAACTATTAGGATTCAGCAAGACAAAAGACGGCGATTGGCGTTGCATTTAAATTGTCGAAGATTGTAGGTGTTAGGGAAGCAAACGTCCTTAGTCGGCATGAGCCACGTACTCTTCCTCGTTAAGTTTTACTTTTAATCACGGCTGCTTAATTAGACGATATCAGTTTGAATCGCAGCGAAAAGCGAAACTGAAATCAAAAATTCACTATATATATATATATATTCGACTCTCCCGTCGAATTCGACGTATGAGGGTCGAACAGATCAGTTCCCAGGAAACCGACAACAGCACATGAGATAGTGGTGAAGGTTTCGTGCAGGACCATCCACACTTTTTGAATGGCCGAATTCAAAGACCTGGTGCACTAAGTGCCACATGGTCCCCAAACGACCCTCCGCATGTTTTGAATTCAGAGTTGTCCTTCTCCTAGACCAGTTGCTATCCAAGGCTATAGAACCCAGTCTCTCCTGCTATTTACCCATAGCTGGAGAGAGAAGAGGATTCACACCTTTCCCAAGGCTATTAGCACGTAAGTGAGTGTAATGGATTCGACTGGAATTCGAACTCGGCTCTCAATTCCTCAATCCAAGCCGCTATACATTACTCCATATATATAATCTTTTAGTTGGACAGATATTTTTCCTCTAACGAGGCGATATAGCGCATCCTGGGCTTCCAAGTCCACGAGCGGCATCCAACTGTGGTGAATCAGACTGTTCATCTTGAAAATGTCCAGTATGTATATTTCACAGAAGATACTGATCGAAATGTATTTGAGAATACATCAGAAAACACTTTGACAGCTTTCTTCAACTTATACCAAAGTGATTAATTTGCCTGAACACTGCTGTATGTTGAAGATCTTGTCTACTACACCTGGGCAGACAATGGATGCAGTAGGCGCAAGCACAAGTTGAGGGCTGAGGAGAAAATGCTGTCTTCAGAAGCGGGACCAAAGGAAGAGTGTACACTGTGCAGCCCATTCAGCAGGAGCGCTTCTTTCTGCGTCTGCTGTGGCAGACAGTCAGAGGTCCTACATAATTTACATAGCTGCGAAGATATAATGGAGAAATCTGTACGACCTACAGAGAAACCTGTACCAAACATTGACTATTCGAGGCCGATGCCCACTGAGGCCAGACACTGGAGACGGCAAGAGTCGGCAGAGCACAAAGTCAAGTGCGCCAGATATTTTTCATTGTGTTGATGATATGTGGCTTAGCTGAGGACATCCTACGAAGGATTCAAAGAAAAACCTCAACGGAAATTGTCACGTTGAGTCGATGCCATTTACAATGTCATTAGTTGAACTGGACACACAAGTGAGAGGCCAAGGAATTTGGTCTACCTCAACCTGAGCAAACAGCACACAATCTCGCAGTTGAGTACATGCAAGACATCAGCTATGACACTGAGGAAATGACAATATATATAGCTGATAACAAGTACCAACCGATTGAGGACCAATTGGGTGTTGATAACATGATTATTTCGATCACTGAAGGTGAAAGAGGAGATCTATTCTTCTTCGTTGCCTCAGGTGGAACTGACAAGATATATGCCATCAACTTAATTCTGGCTAAACTGCGCCAAATGAAACATTTTTCTAGTAGTGGCGTCATGTGGAATAGCTGCAATCCTGCTAAATGTTGGTCGCACAGCTCATTCATGTTTCAAACTCCCTTTGGACCTGTCAAGGAAAGAGAAGGCAAGCTGCAATATCAGTCGTGATTCTATAAAAGGCAAACTTCTCAGTGATTGAAAATCGATCATATAAGGCGATAGGTTCCTTTGATGATAGTTGACACGGCATTTCAGGATCTTAGACACGGCACACAGTCTTGCTTGCGGGAGACTTTTGACAAACCTCTCCTTATTAAGAAAGGGACGAGCTAAACGCTATTATAAAGTCTTCCTACCTGTGGATCAGTGTGAAAAAGCTAAGATTCACAAGCAACACAAGAGTGCAGCTCACTGTTGATGACGAAGCTTGTACTTTTTCTAAGCAACAATTCCATGTTAGTAATGGCACTTTGGTTGGCGGGTCAATTTACCTTTTCAACATATGGTATCTGATTTAAAGGAACTAATTACTAGGGGGTGTTTCCTAACCAGAGGAATCGGTTTACAGAACACAAGTGGCCATTTTAGTTTAGGAATCTAAACAGAAATGTGTCAGTTGATGATTTGAACAACAACTTTCTGGAGCAGTTGCCAGGTAATCATTGCAGCTACAATTTCATTGACGCTGTACTAAACGCCGATGAAGCTGTGATTTAGTCATTTGAAATTTTGAATAGCTTAACACCATCAGACCCACCCCCGCCTCGCAATTTGATCCTCAAGATTGGAGCATCAATGATGCTGCTAAGAAACCATCGGGGCTTTGCAATAGAACACGGCTTACAATTAAGATGATGCCAAAAGTCTTGGAGGCGACAATGCTGACTGGCAAAGAAAACACTGAGGCTATATTTATTCCTAAGATTCCATTTATTCCCTCGAATTTGCCTTTTCCAGTTCAAGCGGCTGCAGTTCCCTGTGAAACTAAATTTTTCTAATCAGAATTAACAAATCTCAGGGGTAGTCCTTTGGTGTGGTAGGCATTATCCATGCAGAACCGGTTTTCTTCCATAGCCAATTTTATGTGGGATGGTCAAGAGTTGGCAATCCGAATCATTTGTTTATTTATACCTCCCCCCCCCCGCCACCGACGGAAAGACCAAAAATGTTGTTTAGCAAGAGGCTCTTCAAACTTGATAAGAAACACTCAATCATCAGGTGTTTATGATTTAACTCTACTATTCGTCAGTGTTGTAAATCTTTTGCTAATCTATATGTTATTCTATTTGTAAATCTATATATAAAACTATTTGCAGGTCTATTGTGAAACTATATGTCAGTCTGTTTGTACATCTATTGTAAATTTATTTTAACACTAGCCTTCCTAAAGACTATATTCTCTGTGAATGCACAAAAGCCATTTTCAGGGCTACTTAATTTGAATTGTTACTTTCGGTAACCAAGTTGCTTGTTATTATGTAAGTCACTTTACGATATTGGTATTCTTAACTTATTGGTATTTTCTCCATAGACTCTTGGTGGAGGAGGGGGTAGACTGATGTAAACTTCCATCTTCACAAAGAATACCAGGATGTAGACAAAGGAATTCTAACAACCACACAGACACGACATTGGTTCTGGAAAATGATTGTGATGGTGTACAGTATTTGAAAAAAAACTAACGAAATAAGAAAATTCGAGCAACACCGAGTACATTAATCAACACCTTAATCGAAAATTGGAAAAATACAATAAAAAATTAATTTTAATCAAACTTGTGTGGATGAAAACGTTCTGCCTAAATATACCTATATATATTATTTTAAGTAAGTTCCTTTCATATAGTCTGATAAGCTTAATAACATTATCATTGAAGGACGAAAGGAAAGCACCATATTGATACATGTTTCAATACAATCTAAGTGTTCGGCTTACATAAGCCATTATCAAAGATGACAATTACTTTTCAATATATCAACCAATACACGGACGAAACAATAATAATAGTCTGTTTTGTTGCATGAAAAATTTCAAAGCAACGACTAATTTGTGTATACTACACATGCGCATGAATGATGGATGCTGGGAATATTTTTTTCTAGTCGATTTCATTTAGATTCTTTTTCTTTCTATTACTTTTGTTAGTAGATATCCCTCACTGGCTCTTACAACGTTTGCGCCTTGACTCTTACAACATTTTACGATTCCTTTCAGAAATTCTATTATCCCAATGTCGGATATCTACAAACAAAAGTGATGAAAATATTAGGTTGTCCCAAAAGTTCGTAAACACTTGCGAAAAATTGAATTTTTATGCAACACAATCCAGCACAATCGAGACAAGGGCAAGAGACACCGTCGGTTCCAAAACAAGATTGATTCGGCAAGAAAGTTATGTTGTGCGTTTGGTGGAACTTTGAAGGAATCGTGCATTTTGGTTCCGAATGGTCGTGCCATCAGTGCCGAAATTTACTGTCAGCAACTGGAGCAGGTCTACGAAAAGTTGAAGCAAAAGTACCCGGCTCTGATCAACCGAAAGCTTTGATGCAGCAGGACAATGCCAAGCAACACACCGCCAGGAAGACCAAAGACAAGTTTGAAGAGCTGGACGGCGTTGAGGTTCTGCCACATCCAGCCTACAGTCCTGACTGTGCTCCATCAGATTACGGCCTTTTCCGCTCAATGTAACACTTTCTGAAGGGCCGCCGATTCGACTCGTTTGATGAAGTCGAGGAAGTATGTCCAGAATTCTTTGATTCGAAGCCGGCTGAATGGTACTTTCACCATATCCGAAAGCTTGCAGATCGATGGCAGAAAGTCTTGGAAAATGATGGTCTTTATTTTGAGGAATAATTTTTGTTGTTTTTGTTATTACTTGGCGAGTAAAATTTCAATTTTTTGCAAGTGTTTACGAACTTTTGGGACAACCTAATAAAAAGTATCTAAATGAAATTCGCTAAATTAAAAAAAAATTAAATTCCCAGCAACACTTATTGTTGCGCATGTACAGTCGCACCAACATAACAAATTTAGTCTGATGAAGTCCTATAGGACGAAACCCGTCACAAGATTTTTTCCCAATATTATTCTTGATATATAAATATATATATCGTTATCTCACATATATATATATATATATATATGTGTGTGTGTGTGTGTGTGTGTGTGTGTGTGTAGTTCTGCAATCTTGAGCAGCACTCTTTTCAATCTTAAAAAGCCCTTTTAAACATTGTTAGAAACAATTACGTCCGGTCAGACACTGACTTCTTTCAGAGGAACGTCTGTTGAGTATTTCAATCGTTCTTTTAAAATATTTTTTAGATTTTATAAACAATTTTTACGATTCCGGTCCAGAGGGCGAAAGCCTCACGTTTCTTTTTATACTTTCTTTTTAATCAGAAGGGTAAAACTTACTTTTTTGTTCCATAGAAATTTGAATATATATATATCAATCTATATATATATATATATATATATATATATATATATATATACAAACTATATATATTTTAGAAAAAATTTTATCTTTTTTTAAGACTTGATATTTATTCATCTCAAATTGAACTGAATTGGAATATTGTCTTGAAAAGAGAAACGTCAGACGTCGAACATTCATTTTAAACAACATAATTGCATCTAAGGATTTTTGTTTGCAAATTTTTCTTCATATATATATATATATATATATTATATATATATGATGTGTGTGTGTGTGTGTGGGTAAAATTGTGCCTTACATGTATTATTTTTTTTTATTCATTTCGATTATACTATCAACTGATTCATTATACAAAACGTTCAACTGATTCAAATCATTTAGCAGAATTATAAGCCTTAATCTTATAAGAAAGTCTAAAGTGGTTTGCGAGATTCTATGCCTCCCGTCCACCATGTCAAACTAGGTTTCAGTTTTGGCCAAGTAGTTGCTACAATGTTGCAAGCGTTTAGTTATTCGGCGTAAGCACTTCCATCTTACACTAACCTTTAGCAAGCCGCGGTTTCGTCTTTTAAAAACTTGTGACAGAAACAAGACCAAGGAATAAATAATTTGGTAAGACAATAACTCTTTAAAGGAGAAGAAGAGGCATCCATAAAGAAATGGTGGAACGGTGGAATGCAAGTATAAGGGAATGGTGGAATGGTGGAATGCAATTATAAAGGAATGGTGGAAAGACGGAATGCAATTATAAAGGGATGGTGGATTGACGGAATGCAATTATAAAGGAATGGCTGAATGACAGAATGCAATAACAAAAAAATCGTGGAACAACGAAAAGCAAGTATAAAGGAATGGTGGAACGACGGAATGCAATTTAAAGGAATGGTGGAACAAGGGAATGCAATTATAAAGGAAGGGCGGATAGACGTGATGCAAGTATAAAGGAATGGCGGAACGTAAAATTTTATTTTTTATAAACTTAGTAATATATAAAAATAAAATTTACTGAATCAGAGAAATGAAATAGCTATTTTTTGCCGTCATTGTCAAAATTTTTCCTTAAATAATATTTAAAAATAAAATTTAAAAATAAAATTAAAAAATGGGAACTGGTAATATACATGCTTATATTTGATATGAAAAAATAATTTTAAATAATTTAAGTAATTCTATTAAATTTACTTGTTTTAAATAGAAATATAGTCTATTAGTAATTAAGAGTAAAAATATTTAAAATTGTAGTTAAATAAAACGTATTCTAAACCAAACACCCCTAGAAAAATCTTTAAGTATACAAGTACGAAAAAAATGCCGAAAAACTTTTTTGCCGTTAAAAAAAAAATCCAAACGACTGTATATGGATTTCTCTGAATCCTTGGAAACAAAAAATTATGAATTTATCAGCGCGTTGAAAAATCAGTAAATTTAAAAATAAGTTATTCCAATATTGGCTTGAAAATGAAACGGAACTAATGCTTTTAATTTAATTATATAATTAAGTTTGAAGCTTTTAGCTTCAGTTTTTGAGACATGGTTATTACACTGTAGAGAAAAAAGCATATTTTAAATCAGTTAATTTATAATATTTATACTCCGTAAATTTACATTGAGCACTGTTTTGTAAAAATAAAAAAAATAAAAAATATCAATAAGAACTCGGTATCTGTTGAGATGGTTGCACTTAAGTTAAGATGACCCCTACACCAGTGCAGTCAAAACAAGTGATGAACTTTAACCATTTTTCTTCTTTTCCTGACTGAACACTAAACATTTTTTAATATTTTTTCTCTTTTCTTTTCATTTCTTCTTCAGGCTCGTCATCAATTTTATTCGTTTTTATTTATATAAATTAAATTAGTTTCTTAATTGTTAGAAGTAGTCGATTTTTATATTTTAATCGAGCACCAGCGTGTTCTTCTACACTATTAGTCCCCTAAATCTTTTCCGTGTTCTTGATAGTAATTGACATTAATAATAATGATTTTCACCAACAATATACCTCTGAAGAACAGTTGACCGAAAGGTTCCTTACGTGCTTTTTAAGTGTTAAGATCGTTTCCTTAGTATTATTTAAAGCCTTGTTAATATGTGTGTGTGTGTTTTGAACAATAAAAAATATTAAAAATTAAAATCTTACACTGAGTTGTATATTAATATTCTTTCGTTTTATTATTTCAATTTGATTCCTCGATTAGTTTCGGCCAACATGGCCATCATCAGGAGAAAAAAATTTCTGCTTGTTAATAGCAGTGAACTACAGAAATGAATGACTTGATTGAGAAAATGAACTTTATCTGTAGGCTGGATGGATTCATGCTGCTCTGAATTCCCTTGGTCATTTTGACAGTTTTATTGATTCCTGGAAAGGGAATGTGTCTTTGTTAAGTATGTGTTATTTGGTTCTTCACATTATTTTTAGTGGATACTCATATTTGAATAGGCACTCCGTTTATTTATTAAACAGTATATTCATTTATTTGAACTGAATATACGATAAATCCTATTAAAGAAAAATCTGTGCCCTTCAGCATGAATGGAATCTCTGTACCCCTCAGGGCAGAGGGAGCCACCGTTTAGCCCGGCGCGCCACGACGAGACAGGCGAAGACAATTTCAGGCTTTCAAGCAAAATTTCTCCCGTCATTGATCTCTCGAAGTTTTTTTTTTCAATTGAATACTGCAATAAACAAATTTACTGTTTAATAAACAAACGGAACGCTTACTCAATTACGAGTATCCATTTAAACTTATACAAATTTGTCAAATTAATAAAAATC